CCGACGTTCAAAATTTATTAAAAACCGGTATAGAACGTATAAAACCTGAACATTGGCAGAATGCTATTTCCCATGTAATTAAGAAAGAAAATAATATGTGGCGCTTGGACGGTATTATCGAAACCGTAGTTGAACATCTGGTCATAACTTTACGTTCCGACGATACAGACGATTCCAGTGATAGTTCTGCAGAATCAATGGATTACGAAACTTCATAGATTTAAAATTCAAGTAAGTGATACCAAGCTTAATTTACATATTTTTATAATAAACAAAATACAATTATAAACATAGGTAAATTATTATAACAAAAATAGATAACCAACCTACTTTCATCTAGTAATATTCACAAATACCCATTTAATTAGCCAATATAGTATTTCTGCGACACTGGAAGAGTGCATTTTGATATGATAATGATACCTTTTGCAGTTTTAAGGCGCACCTTCTTCAATATTTTGTTCTAGTATAATACCCCATTTAATTTTCCAATAGTGTTTCTACGCGACTGGCATAATATTTACATATTTTAACAATAAACAAAACAAAATTATAAACATAAATAATTATTACTACAAAAATAGATAATCAACCTACTTTTATATAATATTATTTACTATTACCGCATTTAATTTGCCAATAGTTTTTATACGCCACTGGCGTGATTCATTTTGACAATAAACATGCATTTATGACTAGTTGGCATTAGATACCGATAACTTCTGCAGTTTTAATCGCGGGATTCCATTTATTATGCTCTGGTATAGTATGATTGTTGTACGTGAACAGGAAGGAATCACCTTATTTAATATTTTGTCCGAGTTTTTATAATGTGTACTGCAGGGAACTTTTCACAAACTACTGTTTGAAGAGTGTAAAGTAGTTTAACATTAATAAAATGTTTGAAACTATAAAATTTAGTAAAATACAAAAAAGTTAATTAACATAATTATAGAATGCTCCTATTAACATTTGGATTTTAATATCACATATAAATTAATAAAATTTCCGACAATTTTAGCTCATCGTGCCGTCTTTTTATTTTAAAATTTTTCCGTATGCTGCAAATTGAATTTAATGAAATCACTTTAAGCCAACAATGTTTTATTCATGAAAATTTATAATTTGCATATATGTTTTTCTGAAAATTAACCCTTACATCTGGATTAATTTTTCTACCTTTCAACGCTAAAAAAAAGTTTAAAATGGGACCTTTTAAATATACTGTTATATATTGCTGTTTATTGGATTAACAAGAATAAAGCGTCCGCTTTAATTAAAATACGAATATTACTATGTGAAGCAGAATTAATTATCTTTAATTATTGGTTTTTATGCCTGATTGAATTTAAACGAGGTCAAATTTAATTGATTGTACGAATTACCAGGGACCTTCATCATTAATGCTAATAATGACACATTGTTATGCGATTATAATCGGCGGCGATACTTCAGGTCCTACCTGATTGTAGTTCCCAAAAGTTTAGGTATTGGGATGACCAAAGTCTAGCCAATCACTCTAGTTCACCTCTAGTTACACTTGTCGGTTCTAGACGTTTAGAAGCTGGATTTTGTATGGTGTGTTCTTTATTTATTTTTCTTAAAGTTAATTTAAATTGCATAGAAATGGTCAATAACACTAAATTTAAAATGGTCAAAACCATAAGTTTAATGACAAAGATAAGTATCTAAACGTTAATATTTTAATAACTTTATGAAAATAATGAAAAAATTATTAACCAGATACAAATACTTTTCTTCAACATTTTAATTACATAATCACGTGTGTTAAATAGTTCTCTTGTTAGACGTTTGATGAGATATCAAAGGAGCCTCTGGAGAATATGAGCATCGAAGTGTCGTAGGAGACGCTGAAGGAGCTGAAGATGAAGAAGCAACAATAGATGTAATTAAGATATGAAAGGTTAAAAGAAATGGAGAGGTGTATATGTCTATATGATCCTTAATAACGCTTAATAACGCTTATGCCCTTTTGTTGATGCTACTACTTATTTTTTTTACGAAATCTTTTAAACACTTGTTCTAGAACTTCGATATGTTTGCTGAATGTTGAAGTAGTGACAACGATGTCATTTAAATAATAGAAGTAATAGTGCTGGTCCCATGACAAGATCCGTAAGACGACACATTATTTGAGGTGCTGTAACCGGTCCAAAAAGCATAGTCATATATTCCTAAAGTCCTTTACCATAAACTGCAAAAGAGGTTTTCTCTCTAGAAGATTCATCTAAGGGACTGTGATAAGAAAAAGGTCAATGAGAGAGATTTTTTTTTCTCCTGGGCTCGTCTGACTATGTCTCCGAATAACACTAAAGCCTATTGGCTTATTGTGTTTACCCCCATGTTAGTTTATAGCACCCACTCTGTCACCTTTGTACCTTGCATATGTTTGTACAGGTCCTTGAGTGAGTGGGTTCTAAACGTTGTTGGTTCAACCTGGAGTTGTCCAAAACGAGCCCGTCTTTTGCGATCTAGAGTTTCGCATTCGCACAGTATGTGTTTGGCCGTTTCTGGTTTCTTGTGACATAGTTGGTACATGAGTTCCTCAGTCATGAACCCTGTTATCACTTTCAACTGTTTTCTATTTATAAAGAGTAGTTCTCCAGTTCTTTTGGACATGATGTGCCTATAACGGCTTTTCCATGTGCCTGTTTTGGGGTGCTTCCCCAATAGTTAATATGTTGTTCCCGAATCCAGTAGTTTATGAAACCCCGGACTGTACTTTTTGGTACTCCTGGGTTTGTGTCTGGTTCCGGTGTTTCTTCTGATCCTCTTTTTGCAATTTCGTCAGTCTTTTCGTTGCCTTCGATCCCTTGGTGACCTGGCACCCAAAATAGTTTTACTCTATTTCGGTCTGCCAGTGTTCCTAGTTCTTCGATGCATTCCCATACCAGCCTCGACGTAACTTTCTGACTCGATATGGCTTTAAGTTTCGACAGCTCTTTCATTGTTCGTTTTTGCACATTACAAAATTGCGTATACCTCGGCCTGAAATACCGAGAAATGTATTCCTATAGCATAGCTATGGTTAGTTTTAGGGTTTTTGGAGAATACTCCCGCCCCAGTGCCTTCCGCAGACTTAGACCCTTCTGTATACCAGTTTTGTTCCAATGGAGGAGATAAGCGAGCATCTCTAAGTTTGCTCAAGATACTGTCAATAAGAAGCAAAGAATATGGGTCCTTGTTGATAGTAAAACGATTTAACTTCCCACCATCGAAACAAACACGGTACGTTCCATTACTTTTCTTGTCGAACCAAAAAGGACTTCTATATAGACTTTTGCTTTCCCTAATAATTCCTAAACTGATAAGAGCATTAACTTCTTTAGTTAGGTGCTCCTGCTTAAAGGAAAGAGAAGTGCCTGTATCGATCGAATGCTTAAGAAGATGTGTTCACAATACAAAGTGATAAGGAACTCACGTTAAAAGAAAATTTGATGGAATCAATATTTTTAGAAAATCCGTATCAAGAATTACAGGGTGAGTAACCGACAGTATTAAGAAAAATTTCACTGGTCGGGAAACATCGTTTACACCGTTTCAAAATACCCTAACACTTGTTGAGGTTAACCATCGGCGGTCGTGACATTAAGAGAATCTTCACTATTAATAGGTAGATTTAGGCTTTTTACAAAATCTAAGGAACGTGATCCCAATAACGATATGTTTGATCCTGTATCAATTAGTGCAGATAAATTATTATTATTATTAAAGAAACTGATTTTTATATAGGGACGGTTATCATTACCTTTCTTATATAATAACGTCGATATGTCAGCTTCGTTGGTTATGCGATAAGTCTCGCTTATATAATAAGTATCGTAAAATCCTTTCACCTTAAGTAGCCAATTTTTCCATTCATTTTCAAATCTAGAGACGGTGGGTCGATAGGAGATATTCCAGGAATTTTTATGAGATAAAGAATTGTGATAGGAATTTTTGTAAAATTTCCTTACAAGAGATAGCCACGTTTTCCAATCATTTCTGATTTTAGAAATGGATGGACGGCAAGAAAAATAAGGTTTTCTTGTTCTGCGGTTCCTTCGTGAGGGTTATTTGTGTCTTGATCTTGGAACGTTGTTCCGAAGATCCTGAGCTTAGAACGGAAGTGGCGGATAATACCAGGTTGTCCCCACCACGACGTACATTTTTTGAACAATCGGGTTATTTTGTATTTGCGACTCCTGCCTTACCACAACCAAAATAGAAGAATTTCCTAACATTGGCGGTGACAACAGATACATCCCTAAATGGATCGGTACGTGAAGAGAATTGAGGTTTACGAGATGGACCTGGAATACTCAAATCCGGTTCCAAGAGGTAATTTTTACGGGAGTTAGGAAAGCGATTTGCCTCCTTAAGTCTATTACATTTTTCGGCCAGTTTCTCTACAGTTGTTACATCGATCAGCGCCAAGTCATGAGAATAAGACGGTACGAGATTTCTTTAGGTATACCTAATCTTTGTTTTCTCATCTGGTCTATTCTCCAATCGTTGAAACAAACCTTCCATGGCATTAATAAAAAGAGTGACCTTGTCGTTACCACCCTGCTTCCTATTTTTGGCCTCTTTAAGAAGATCGTCTTGATAACTATATGGGAAAAAGGCAGACTTCAGCCTGGAGACTAACTCCTACCTTGAAATGCATTTACCTTTATTATTAAGATACCAAGTAAAAGTCCAAAATATGAATAGGCCTGCTGCACTAGCAAAAAGTTCCGTATTGGAAACACCTCTAGCCAAATGTAAGCATTCCACCTTTTCAGGGAAGCTCACTAGTGACTTTCGTTCATCAGTACCGGAAAATTGGATTTCCCATTTATAAACGGATATAGCACTGGTGTACGAAATGTAGGTCAAGTTTACCCTCTAAAGCGAGAATTTGTACCTGGAAATGTTTCGCTACTTCGTTTTAAGTTTCATCGGACGCTACCAATCAATTTGTTCTGCCTGAGACGTGCGCTAGTCGAGAGACTAACTTGACATAGCCAAAATTGGTAGTTAAACCATTAAAGTCGGTGATTTTAACGGAGAGATCTGCAATAGTATCAGCAATGGCTTTTTGTTCCTCAACAAAAGTAAAGGTAACAACAGGGTTATGAACGCTGCGGTTCATAGATTCTTGCTTTAGAGCTCCACGAAGAATTTTCTTCTTCCCTGGGTCGGTACCTTGAGGAACACTACCTCGAACTCTAAGCTCGTAATCTAGTTCATTGGTTAGAAGATGATCAACCTTAAAACCTAGTAGACTGGACGACATTTTAGAAAAGTAGCTGTTAACGGAACGTAACAACAAACCCCCCAAGTAGAATAAAGTAAAGTGCAGATAGCAAAACAGTAATTAAATGAATTATTATCGATATATTATTAAATGGTTTTTAAGAATAAAAAAAAAACAAGTGTTTTTATAAAGATATCTATCAAATATTATAACCTTCAATAATGTATATAAGTAAAAATATTAAGAACTAAATCTCTGCCAATACCAGAAGAACTAAATTATATACGATAATACGGTATCTGTATACAAACGTATCCATTTTATACGTGTATATACACCTTAATGAAATAATAAATGTTTAAAAAATTTGTCGAGCGCACTTGTACAAAAAATTATTTAAAAAGAGAAAAAAAAAATGTTTTACATACCACATAAAATCAGTACCATGCCTTACATTGGGCGCCATTTGTGTAACTTAAGTTTTTACCTCTTTGGCAACAACAACAATAAAAAAAAACGATAAGGGCGCCACATCTTTATTTTATTTAATTAATTAAAAAGGGTAAAAAGTAAAACCTACGATAGATTGTTACTCTAAACCCCGATAGTAACTTGTTATAAAAGAGAAAACATAAAAACAATTTACAATTTTATTTACAGTAATGTTTAAGGGTATCTTCAAACAAAAAACGGTATCCCTCACCTTAATTGTTCTACTTGTGTAAAATCCGCAGAATATTCCAGTGCAGTGTGAGGAGTTGATACTCCTTCCAGGAAAACCAGATAAATTAAAACTTCAAAAAGAACGTGACGATAAAAGGCAACCTCCAAAAATGACAATGTTCTCGACAAACCATTATCCAGGAAAAACCAATATACAGGAAAAACCAATATCAAGAAAAAACCAATAATCAGGAAAAACCAATAATCTGGAAAAACATATATCCAGGAAAAATCAGTATACAGGAAAAACCAATATCCAGGATTAACCAATATCCAGAAAAAACCAATATCCAGGAAAAACCAATATCCAAGAAAAACCAATATCCAGGAAAAAGCCAATCTAGTCTAACAAGGCACAAAATTATTATTATTATTATAGCAGGCTTTCGAGTGTCTTAAGGAAACCAATATCCAGAAAAAACCAATATACAGGAAAAACCAATATCCAAGAAAAATCAATATCCAGGAAAAAGCCAATCTAGTCTAACAAGGCACAAAATTATTATTATTATTATTAATATTATTATAGCAGGCTGACCACCGCACCAGTTTTAGCACACTTTAATCCAATTAAAGGATGTGAGCTGCGTGTGGACGCCAGTAAAATAGGGATAGGAGGCATTTTGTTACAAGAGGATGAGGATGGTGAACAACACCCCCATCGCTTTTGTTAGCAGGAGCCTGACAAAAAGCGAAAAGAACTATACCATAGCAGAGCATGAGGGCCTGGCTGCCATATGGACACTAGCTTACTTGAGACACATGGTATATGGAAAACCGGTGAAGATTGTAACGGATCATCATACTCTCTGTTGGTTAAAGACTCCACTGGGCGCCTAGCCCGGTGGGCCCTCAAGTTATCGGAATACGAGTACCAAATTTTGCACAAAAATCCCAAATTCCTAGCCCTTCCGAGGATCTAGTAATGGAGCAAAGAAAGGATGCGCACCTGACACTAAAATTTCAAGCTCTGGAAGACCCCTCAAGTGTCCCAATGGGAATGGCTAGAAATACCAAGAATTTTAGATTGATAAATAGCGTGCTACATAAGGCAAACAGCAACACAGCAGGAGTAGATAATCTTTTGGCAATTCCCCGATACCTGGTAGCGTAAGTCCTGTTCTCAATGCACAAGGAGCTCTACTAAAATTTGTTCTTTTTGTTTTGTCAGTCAAAATTAAATTAATTATGTTCTATGCATTTTTTGATTCAAAGGTTTTTTGATCATATCTCATCCTTTCCTGGGTATACCACAATAAATCTTTTAGATTGCAGTGTATCGGACACCATAACAACCTAACATCCTGTCCTGAAATATTTTGATATAATAACCATGTGAAAAAGACAGGAAACATATAATTAATATTAAAATCATTTGGAATCGTTCTTTATACAATCGATGAAATCCTTTTAGAATTTAAGTATAGGTACTTATTGTAAAAACCAACCTGGGATTACGAAAAAATTACATTTATAAAATCCTCAAATTTGCCACTTTCTCATTCAAAATTTTTCATCATCTATATCTCCCTAATAAAAGATATTAAACTGGAATTTATATGAAGAGCTTTAATCCCTCTAATATCCTCGAAGGAATATTGAAAAGGGATCAAAACTTCGCAATTTAGGTTAAATATAAGAGAAATATTTGCTTGACGGCCCCGTGACTGGAAAGCTGAAATTGGCTTATCATTTATACACACCGAAATATTCACAAATCGGCATATCACACCGGTCTGAATAGAGAAGATTAGCTAATTCTAGGGTTTGATTCTCCTTTAGCTCCTGTCGGATTTTGATTTTCCCTATTATTGGATTTTATCCTGAACAGATCACTCAATTGTAAATGATTTTATGTAATGATATATTTTTATACATCCTAATAAAATTATAAAAATAAACATTTAAAAAAATATGATTATTAACCTACTGATATTTAAGCATATTTGCATATAGTTTGAGTTTTGTAAATTTGAATAAAAGGAAGGCAATAAACATTTTTTTTTTGTAAAAAATGTCCGATTTCCGAAACATTTTTAACATTTTAACTTATTTGTTTAAATAATTGTTTTTTATATAAATAAAATAATTGTAATAATAACCCACATGGATATTACCTTATCTACGCACAGACTACAAAACGAAAAAGTATGTCATTGCGTTCAACTAAACGAATATATTTCATATTCATTCTAGGTAGTGAGAATACTGCAAAAAAATTAAATCCACCATATTTTGGATACCCAATACATCTACTATTATTTTTAAAATTTTAAATAAGTGACAATCCTGTCAAACTAATTGTTAGAATATTTTTTAGTTATTGAGATTATATATACATTAAAATTAGTTATTTTTGTGTACAATCGATAAATAATCGTAAATAATAGCATTTTTGTTTTTATTTGGATCATATTTAAAAAAAAATTTAATCAATCTATATTTAACTATTTTAATTACGTGTATTAAAACCAAATTAATAAAAGTGGCCGTAGACGCGTGGTAGAGTCCTTACCTTCCACACGAAAAGCCGGGGACCGATTATCGGCTAGCAACTATTTTTTTTTGTTTCATATTTATTTTATTTTAAAAATCAGTAAAATTCATAAATTATTTTAAAATTAGTTATTTTATCTTAATAACCTAAAGTATTTTTTTCTTTGTAAATGTTCGCTAGTGGGTCGTAGAAAAAATATACTGTACAACTCAAGTACATTGTCCATATTCACTCTTGTTGCACAAACTACTATTACAAGAATACATGCAAATTTATCTCCAATAAGATAACCATTATAAATAGTTCAACACCGAACCTGAGTACAATCACGATACACATACTAAAGGTATGCTGACTTTCGATTCAAAATTCGTCCAAACCGCGCAATGACGTAATGCGGGACGAACTTTCAAGTTATTTTGACACTTTTCGATTGAATAGTGTAATATAATTTAATAATTTATTTGTTTTTGTGTTAGTAGTGACTATAATTTCTTATATATAACAGGGAAAACATAAATTAATGTTTAAAATGCCAGGCTGCGCGGTGGAGATATTTCCGAATGACACAAAATATGGGTAAATTCTTATCGAAGGAAGGACAAACTTAATTGAAGTTGTCCTATCCACTTTGAGAAAAGTTGTAAGATTCCTCTTAAACGTAGACGCAAGAAAAGGAAACTAAATTCCATCAGGTGCACGGGCCTCATTAAGCAAAGAAAATAAATCGGTATTTTAAAATTTTAGTGGATAAAATAGTAGTTTCCTGTTCCAATATAATGGTCCTTTTGAAGTAATACCATGCATGAGCAGGACACGAACATATATAAGAATAAGATAAATGAACAGAAAAATTGGTTTGGAGTATTTTCAAAGTAAACTTGACAGAAAATGTTTAAATATACCAAATAAAAGTAATTTTTTGTGTACTCAGTTTTTATAAATAAATAATTTGTTTCTGCAAACTTATTTTTATTTCAAGTAATAAGAAAAGAGATTGCAAGAGAACTACCACGCCCAGAAAGTACAAATTTGAATCAAACTTGTATTTTTAGTCGATATTTTTTACTTATCTTACGGCCAGGTTATGGATTTTGTCACAAAATACCTTTAATTTATTTGAAAAATTAATATTTTTATTAGTATTATTTACCTGAAGCCTTCATATTTATAAACGAATATAATATAAAATAACCAATAAAGTTTAAGTAACTGCATAAAATCTAAAATTGGCAAAATATCGAATTTTAAACACTATCTCCCATTTTATGCTTCGTCCCACGTGACGTCACTACATACATGGCAAAACGCGAGAGTTGCGTTACACGAAGTTTAAGTTACTAAGCGAAGTTCAAAGTGACATTTTTACATTAACAATGTCATTTTAATCTTCGCTTAGTATAATGTAAACTTCGTTTACTACAACGGTAGAATCGGCCCTAACCTAACTTTTTTATGTAGGACAAATTTTTGTTAAATATATTTATGGACAAACATTTAAATTGTATTTTATTCATTAACCAGTTTAATCATTTTGCAAGATTACTACTCATATTACCTATAAGTAATTAAGCAATTACAAATTGAAATTTTGGTAAGTAGGTATCTTTTCAACAACATCATGTAAGTAGATCAGTTGATAACAATTAGGAGATGATCATCTATAAGGGAGATTGTTTAGGAATAATAATTATATAAAATATCGCAAAGTTAAAAAATTTTAATTAATAGATACTCTTCAACTCTTTAGTAAACATAACTTCGAAACAATATTTTATTTTTTTTAATGTCCATTTCCACAATAATTCAAATTTTGGAT